TAAGTTCTAAAATACAAGATTTTATCTTTCAGCTTCAGGTTTAACTTCTACCATTAACTGAAATTCTTTTCAGGGAAAATAAAATCTGTTCTGTTCATGTACTATGATAGATGTTATTGGAAACACAAAATACAATAGACGTGATACTTAAACCAGGAGTTGAGATTAAATAGTAAGTAATTTCAAAGGAAATTCCAATATTTAAGGCAAGGATGTTAGCTACTGTATTTAATACAACCCTTCACTTCAGACAATCCAATGTTTAAGATGTAAATTGCTGAACTTTTTACATTGTAAATCTTATTAATCAGTAATTTTCAGTGTTTGCATTTGTTTTATAATTACATTTACAATAATGATTTAGAATTATTTCCCATTTTAGCTGGTTTCAGCACTTTTAAACTATAATTTGGCCTTAATTTAATTTCATCTTCAGATAGAGCTCATTTTTAAGAATATATGCATAGAATATTTTCCAAGCACTGGAAATTCCAAGAACATCTTGTTGATATTTTTATGCACAATACATTTAGTTTGATTTAAAAAATTCTTCCATCTCCAAACCTTTAAACTTAATATGCTATAAACATTTCTCCTTCTGGCATTTATTGATGAGGTTCAATTCAACAACTTTAGGTTACTTTGTAGGTATATGTTTGTAGGTATATTTTCATTAGCCTATAAGAGTTCACCATGCTATGGCTTTGTAAGAGTCACTTTTTAAACATTTTTTTTATACTAAAATACACTGAGGTTCACCTATTTTCATAAATGTCTGTTCAATCTCAAAAATCTTTTCTTCCATTTCATCTTTGATTATATCTTCTTTTCTAGTAGTTCTTATCTCTCTACATAAACATATATATATATACACAGATGTGCTTTCCAATCCTTGACTATAACCATTAATTCTTCTCATATTTTTGTACTTTCCTTTAAATTTTTTTTTAAAAATAAATGTTTTAATTTCAGAATAATTTTAGATTTATAGAAAAATATTGTAGATTTCTCATATACTTGTACCTAGTGTCTCCTACTGTTACTAACTTGCATGACTATGGTACATTTTTTACAACAAATTAACCACTCCTCAGAAGGAAGATCAGGCAATCTACTTCCATAGAAATACTGCCTCAGAAACCCAAGGAGTAGTTTTATGAATTGGGATCAACAGCAGTGACTATTATTTTTTGGTTTGGATACATTATTATTAAACTTCAAATATTATTCAGACTTTAAAGAACGTGTCCCTAATGTCCTTTTAATGCTGCAGGATCCCATCCATGCTACCACATTACATTTAGTTGTCTTTTTAGGGTACTCTTGGCTGTGAGAGTTTTTCAGATTTTCCTTGTTTCTGATAGTCTTAAGCAGTTCTGGTCAAATATTTTGTAGACTATTTCTCAACTGAAATATTTTAGAAGATTTTTTTATTGAGATAACATTCACAGAACACAAAATTCATAGATTTAACCATTTTTAAAGTGTATAATTTAGTGGTTATAGTATATTCACAATGTTGTATAAGCATAACTAGTATCTAATTCTACATCATTTATATCATCCCGCAAAGAAACTCTTACCATTTAAGCAATCATTCCCTAATTCCTTCTCTCCCTCAGCCTCTGCTTCCTATCTCTATGGATTTGCCTGTGACTGCTAACCAAAAGGATGGCGGTTCAAACCCACCAGCCACTCCTCAGAAGGAAGATTGGGCAATCTACTTCTGTAGAGATACCACCTTGGAAAACCAAAGAGGGGTCACTATGAGTCAGATCCGACTCTACAGCAGTGAGATTTAGTTTTTTTTTTTTTGCCTTATATCTAAATAATCAATTTTTTTCTGCAGATAGCACTACTGAGAAATGCATTGACAGTGCCATGGGCAACATGGTCTTTCTACAAAGAAAAGCATAACAGCCAGTATTTTACAAAACTCTTTCCTGAGTACCTTTACTTTTTCTAGCAATATAGTTATTTCCAAATGTTTAATAAGAATCTATATACTTCCCTACCAGGCCATGATTAGCTACTAAGAAAAGTCACATTTAATGATAAATCTCATTTAATTAGTTACTAGATCCTATGTGTTGAAATGATGTCTACAAAGTCCTCCTAGGACACTGGTTTAGCACCTGCTCTATGGTTTATAGATTCTCAGTTTTACAGGTGGTCAACAATATCTTCCTGGTAAGCCAAGTACACTGGCAAGCTTTGGAAATTTCAGAGAAAATGAGATACTGCTATAGTTGCAGGCACTTCAAGCAATATCTTGGTATGGTTCTTGGTTCCTAATCTTGGAGTAAACAAACTGATAGGGGCAATAAAATATTTCTTTAAAAAGCCTGAGTCCAGAGAAAAGTTTACTTCTAGACTAAGCTATAACCTTTCTAATTATACAGACATTAACAGGTAAGTAAGAAGCATGCAGGTACATAGCTAGAGGAGTCTTGGATTATACAGTGAGTGGTTAAGCACTCGGCTACTAACAGGAAGGTCAATGGTTCGAACCCATCAGCCATTTCCTGGGAGAAAGATGTGGCAGTCTGTTTCCGTAATGATTTACAGCCTTGGAAACCCTATGGGGGCAGTTCTGCTCTGTCCTATGGGGCCACTATAGGTCAAAATCAACTCAACAGCAATAGATTTGGTAACAGGTTAGGTAAACAGATGCCCATTACTAATAGGTAACTATGTATTAATAAGCATCATTAATAGAGGCACTTGGGTAAATAAGAGGCCAAATAAAACAGAACTTCAAATTAATAATACTATATCACAAAATTTATTTGGTCAAACTCATACCTCTGGGACAGAAAATGACCAGTGGAACAGACTGTAAAAAAGAATAAACTACAGCATATTGGAAAAGGCAAAGATGACTGATTCCTTCATATCATGTAGTTTTTAATGTCAATCTCCTTATATTTGGCTCTAGGGGATAGAACAAATAAAGATCTAGATGTTTTGAAGCCTTGTTAACCTGTAGAAAACAAAGTATGATTTTATTTTTCTGTCTGGCAGAGGAGATAACCTCAAAGGTTAGAGCTGCATTGCCCTGTGGAGCCTTAAACAGTTTGTCTAGCTTGCCGTTGTTGTTGTTATGTGCCGTCGAGTCAGACCTGACTCATAGCAACCTCTCCTTGGGTTCCTGAGGCATATCACCATGAAAATAGATTGCCCAACCTTCCTTCCAAGGAGTGGCTGGTGGGTTTGAACCACCAGCCTTCTGGTTAGCAGTCAAGTGCCTTAGGCACTATGCTACCAGAGTCTAACTTAGCAGTCTTCTTTCAGCTTTCTTTCCTCCTACTCTCTTAATCCCGTTCATCAAATCCTTTCTAAAGTCCTCTCATTATTCTGCTGGTTCTCTCACTCACTATCTATTGTGTAAGAAATTTGTTTTTAACAACTTGAGAATTGTATACTAACCTCAACCCTGCATCCTCATAATGTGGATGATTCACAATGGGCCGGAGAGCAGAGAGTTTAACACTTGCCATTGTGGGCATGGCTCCTGCAAACACTGCATCTGCAAGATAAGAAAGAAGTTCTCAGGTGAGAGTTTCAAGGGTCTCCTTCCAGTTCAACTCAATTACTTTACAGTTGAAGAAGGGGAGGCCCAAAAAGCTCACTCAAAGATTAACTGGCAGGACCAGAATAAAGTTAACTAAAGAGAACAAAACTAAACCTATTGTCACAGAGTTGATTTTGACCAATAGTGGCCCTATATAGGACACAGTAAAACTGTCTTATAGGGTTCCCAAGGCTGTAAATCTTTACAGAAGCAGAATGCCACATCTTTCTCCCATAAGGCAGCTGGTGGGTTTGAACCACCAACCTTTTGTTTAGGGGCTGAGAACTTCTACTGAGCCACTATGGCTCCTTAGAATGAAGTCAATGGATGATAAAGTGGTGGCCAGCAAACAGGCTTATGTAAGCTATTTTCCTTGGAAAACAGAGGCTTATCTTTCTTTCTTTTTTAAAAAACACCTTCGAAATCTTTCTTGATTTTACGAAAGACATACTAAATTAACTAGAAAAGCTTTCAGCTCCAAAAAATTCTGGAAGATGATTGAACATTCAATCATTTGACTGAAATTCTGATGACAACAAGACTTCCATTTTCTGTACATAATCAAAAATTACATTCCATGAGTTCTTTTCGAGTAGGAATGTGAAAGACATAAAATTAAAGACTGATAAGGGGAAAAGCATAATAAAAATTATTTTAAAATATAACATATATAAATTTGGATAAATTCTGAAAATAGAATTTATAGAAAACCGTAGAATAAGTTACTAAGAAAATAAGTGCAGCATTTACCCTGCAAACCAATTAAGTAAGATCGCTATCTCACTTTTTAGAAGCAGCACTGCTTTGGGAGCTGAAAGTAGCCTGGGCTTAGGGTTTTGTGATGGTATATAAAATTGTGGGACAAACACCAGCTAAATAATGTTTTCACCTGGTTTAGTACTGTATTTGATCCATTCTATAAGTTCTTCTTGTGGCAAATTGCTGAATTCCCCAACAATATTCCACTGGGTTTGCAGATTTGCTGAACCTTGTATTGACATTGCTGCTAATACAGCAAAAACAACAGCACCAGGATGTACTTTGCAAAAGAGCCATCCAAACAGCTGAAAACACATTAGAATGTATTGGAAACTGTTAGCACAAAGCAGCATGTGCATGAGTGTCAAACTCTATGCACAGAGAAGAATAGTCTTTGCTACAGACCCTGATAAGGAATTAATTACCCTAAGATAATTATTCAGAAACAATGACCCTAGGGACCAAAAGAATTCTATCATCATACACAGTTGGACATGATTTAAAAAGCTCTTTTTCCAACCTGCTTTCTCCATCTTAGATTCAAGTAAGGCCAGGCCATCTACATAATTTGAGGTATACAAAGCAAAATTCTTAAGGTAAGAATCTTCCAACCAATCTCCTTTCCTGGCCCAGCCTGGAGATTAAGGAACAGTGGCCCCACCCCAGGTCAGCCTTTGGAAAGTCATGTCTCTCTACCTTCATACAAGCATAAACATTGTGATTGGGAACCTTGAGGCTGGCTAACTTTTTCCATTTTCAAATAGTCCATACCCAATAATAACATTTTGTCCTTCTTGTCCTCTCCCCTTCATGTTTTTCTCTACATGTTTGTAGGCCTAGATTTCAAGCTATTGGAAGAGATACACCCTTTCATTTCTTTATTTTTCTACACACCACTCCACTCCCATCTATTTTTGAAATTTAAAGGAAGTATTACTGTTGTGCTTTGGCTGCTTGCTGATGAGAAGGTAACACTATTGTGAAATATAAATCTGTGAGTACAGAGCAAGGAGGCAGTTATGCAGGAAAATAAGAAGCAAATAACCAAAGATGGCTATAACTAAATTTTAAAAAGTAACAGCCAGCGGATATACACACAAATGTATATTCAGATAAATGAAACACATTTTCTTAAAAGAGCTTGATACTGAATAAGAACATTTAATTTGAAATGACTTATAACCTCTCTCTCTCTCACACACACACACATATACACACACATATTCTACAGTTAAGCACTGCTTTCTATCAGCACCTGTAGCAATCACTCATGATCTCAGCCTGCATTGACTTGTCAAGTATGTCAAAGACCATAGACCATTTTATCAGATCTGGCCCTCACCCTTTAGGAGAGATAGTACAAAGCCATGAAGAATTTATTTATAATTTACCTATAGGGAGTAAAGAAGTTTGGGTAAGTCAACATTATTTTATGACCATTCATTAATAAAGGTTAGAGTGAAATTATCATAGCAGCTACAACTCTTAAGTAACAAACATCTTACCTGTCTTGAGCAGATCAAGGAAGCCATAACACACATATGTGGGGTCAAGAAGAGTTTTAGCCTCATAATTAAAATACCCAGGGCTGCATATGCTAGCAGCTGCAGTGCATGATAAACCAGCTGAGAGAGACAGAAAGAGAAAATATATATTTTTTTCTCTATTAAACATAAATATAAAGGGCACATTTCTCTCAGCAGCAAAAATCAGTACTACTTTAATGCCTGAAATGTCTCAAATAACTTTAAAACAGCACTATCAAGCCACTCTATTTTAATAGATAGGTAAAATTATAAAGTCATAAAGGCAAGCCTTTCTGTAATTCTGCTGTGGGCCATGCCTATGTTAATAAAATTCACATTTCTGAGTCTATCCTGGTGCTACCATCAGATTAAGTCAGGAAAGTGATAAACAGAAATGGCTGTTGTTCAAGACCATAGAGTGTTACTTTGTAATGCCATTCAAACCTAGGTTGATCAGTAGGAGCTGGGAGCAACACCCAGTGACATCTCTGAAGCCTCACAGCAAAGTGAGTCAGAAGAAAGCGATTTCAAATCACACAAGACACTCCTTATATACAAATACTTGGGCTCTGAAATAAATTGCTATTACCGTTGTTGTTGTTGTTGTTGTTATGTACCGTCGAGTCAAACCCGACTCATAGCGACCCCTCCTTGGGTTTCCGAGGCAGTATCACTACAGAAGTAGGA